ATTGACTAGGATTGTTAGTTTCCCTACCAAAGGTCGTGGTTCTCTCCCCGGGGACTCCGCCTTCCTCCACCAATAAAAACTGACCGCCACGAAATAGCACAATAGTGTTGAAAGTGGCGTTAAACACCAATCAATCAATCAATCATAAAAGATGAGTAAGGCTTGGAGCAGATAGGTTTACCCTGGTGGTTGTTAAAATATTTTATCTGCAAATAGACATGCCATTGAAACAATATGAAGATTCAACTAACACCACCCCCCCCCCCCCCCCCCAAAAAAAAAAACAAAAAACAAAACAAAACAAAACAAAATGTCTTTTTTTTATAGTATAATAACTTGAATCTAACTTGACAACATTTTATTATAAACTTGGCATCAAATATGAAATTGGTATCATAGTTTTTACCATTTCAACTCCATCCACCAAATGTCCAAGCTCAAAGAGTAAACCATTTATAAGTTCCTGGTCTGAAGGAAGGCTAACATAACTCACGTCTTGTGCTTGCTTTGCTTTCTTCTCTGCTACAGGGAAAGCCCTAAATCAAAACATAACAAAATGCAATTATATGACAAAAAAAATAAAAAAGGAAATATGATAATAAGGAAGTGTAATATTTTACTAAATATCAGATACCTCAGTCAACCAAACAGCATTTTTTTCTAAGAAATGAAAAATAAAAGCTGCCCTTCACTACCAAAAAAATTATCCTGCTGTTCATTACCACTCTATGTCTGTCATTAAATAACAAATTATCTTCTTCATTTCATCTCTAATTGTAAAACCAGATTATCCTTAATCTTATACTGACTTAATGTACATATTCATTTAAACTAATCTTATCAAGACTGTAGGTTGCCCTATTTTGTTGTGGGTTGCTGTCTCATTTTATTTATACTAACCATTATTATCAGACATCATAACAATTCAATCGTGCTTATTCTGTTTTTTATTTATATCTATTACAGTATCTGTCAGATTGTATTAATCTGTATAATATAGCATGTTTGTTGCTTATATATAATAAATTTGAGAATGGAAACGGGGAATGTTTCAAAAAGACAACAACCTGACCAAAGAGCAGAAAACAGCTCAAGGCCACCAATGGGTCTTAAACACAGCAAAAAAATCCTGCACCCGGAGGAAGGCTTCAGCTTGCCCCTAAACAATAATGTATATTAGTTCAGCGAAAATGGATGTCACTCTTTCATTAACACTGTATGTTTTACAAGGGTGAGGTGCACCTTGGTATGCACCTTGACCCTCATCATGGGTTAATTATAGGGGTTGACTAGCAGACACATGGTAGAGTTGATGGGTCACTGGACGAGTGGTTAAGGTTGGGCCTAGCTGTGGTGATCATCTTCAAATATATACAACACATGTTCTATTGTAAATGTGAATTATTTCAACATTCAAATATATATACATATGTACAATCTATTTCACAATTACAGTTCTTGCCTAAGTTACCGTTATGATAATATAAAAATATGAAGATGTGGTATGATTGCCAATGAGACAACTCTCCACAAGAGACCAAATGACACAGAAGTTAACAACTGTAGGTCAGTGTACGGCTTCAACATACCAAATAGTCAGCTATAAAAGGCCCCGGAATGACAAATGTAAAACAATCCCAACGAGAGAAAAATAACGGCCTGATTTATGTACAAAATAACTAAAAACAAATATGATATACAGCAACAAACAACAACCACTGAATTACAGGCTCCTGACTTGGGACAGAACATACAGAATGTGGCAGGGTTAAACATGTTAGCGGGCACCCAACCCTCCCCCTAACCTGGGACAGTGGTGTAACAGTACAACATATGAACAAACAAAAAAAATAGTTGAAAAGGGCTTAACTCAACAGATAGATATAAAGCACAAAAACAAGTAACAAAAACACAGAGTGGGCGTGCCAGGGTACTTATACATCCCCACAACAAAAAGACACTAAGTACAGATCTGAGAGTACCAGTACAGCTAGTTCAAAGCCAAAAACAATTAATAAAAAAAATCATGCATCTAAGATTAAAATATCAATCATTACACATCCAACATCCAATGGATTTAGAGAAAAGAGGTCATAAACAGTCAGAGAAAAACATTACCTTGTGCAATGCTAAGATACAGGTATCGATAGATTGTAGAGCCATGAATATGCATATGTATATAAAAATAATGTTTAGTTTGATTTTAATTTACTGATAATAAAATCAATATTAATACCAATAAAAACAATATTCAAAGATCTAATTACAGTGTTGAATTGGTAACCTTTTAGAATACGTTTATTTAAAGTTCCTCATCTCAATAATACCAAAGCTTCAATTCTCCTCTTTTTTTTAAAACTAACTCCCTACTTTTATATTGGTTTTACCTGACAGTCATGCAATGAAATAACTGACCAATCAGGTTTAGTCCTTCATCAAAAAGGTTGGAGTATTTCTTTTTTAATCCCACTTACTATTGACAACATAAAATCAAGTGGGTTATCAAACATTAATTTCAAACAACAACATTACATAATAATAAATACATTTTACTAATGACAGCATTAACTAAAAGGGGCTAATTCATCTTATTTATCAATTAATTTCAAACTTATTGTTTAAGACTAGAACTTTGTTAAAAAACAATTACAGAAAAAATATCTTAATCCTTAATCTCAGACAATTTCAACAAAAATTCTAATCTTGACATGTTTGCAAAACGAGTAAAACCTGTCACAAAGAATTCTAACTACTATAATTCTTAAAAAATAAACAGAAATCTAAATAATAAAAATATTTGAATATCTATAACAGTTAACTTTTGACCTAAAAATAAATATGAATTTATCCAAGGGAGATAATTATCGTAAAAATATTGCCTGTGAAAAGTCTATGCCACATTTCACTGGTGATACATGTGTGTATTTGATTGTGATTGTTGATTGTAAATACCTTCATGGGATCTTGATTGGAATATAAATATTTGATTTGATTTATTAAAATTAGTAGACGTATTTAACCTTTTGGGTAATTAACTGAATTGTCTCAGAATTACCCTATAAAAAAATTATAGATCTGTCTCCGAATATTAACCTTCTGACATCATGCAACAATCAGTTTTTAATTGTTACATCATTTGTTTTTAATTGTGATGCAATATTTTGTGGAAACTTGTGTAGTTTTTAATTAATGGTGGACAAATTTGCATACAAGTGTAAATACATCTATACTGGCCCACACTGGACTAAGACAGGAGGTAGAAAATTTCATCAATAGTAATCTATTTGTCAATTGCACACAGCCTGCCCCCGGATGCAGGATTTTCTCGCTGTGTTGAAGATCCATTGGTGGCCTTGAGCTGTTTTCTGCTCTTTTGTCGAGTTGTTGTCTCTTTGACAAATTAATTCGCCATTTCCATTCTCAATTCTAATTTACTGGTACAGATAAATAATTTTTGAGTTTTATCCATTAGACATTCAAATGTTTTAATAATTACATTAAGTCAAAAAGTACATATTTTACGATTCTTTTCTTGAATATGATTAAATTGCTCTGAGTTTTAATGTGTCTTGACTTTTATATAAATAGCTGCCTATGTAACAGTGGTTTGATTCCGCCAGTGTACTTTATCCGGCGGAGGAAAATCCCCAGTGATTTTTATGCACCAACGAAAATTCACTACTAGGTTTTTCTATCTGGGTCCAGTATAAAACATCCACCAGTCATTATAAGGTTCTAAAAAGGGTTTTTGAAGGGGAAATGTATATAAAATGTGGCTTTATAGTTTTTAGTGTATTTGAAACTTGCATAGTTGATTTATGTAAAAAGTGGAGAGTTTTCATCCAAGGAATGTTCACACTAGTGTTTTTAAACAAGGAATGATTACACTAGTGATTTTGTACCGGAATGATTGCACTAGTTATTCTATACCGGGATTAATTACACCAGTGCTTTGGATCCATCCATACATTGATGGAGTGATAAGTACTCATTTTCAACGCACGATTTAAACACAATAATGCTTATATATTAACAAATAAGATTTAAATAATTTTTCTATGCAAATCTATCAAATCATATGCTTTTAAAATTGTCACTAATTGTAATATTTATTTTTACTGGATTGCCGAAGTGTTTCTGTGTATTTGCTTTTCGGTCGACTTGGATATAAAATCATATCTTATAAACTGGTTCCTTGAAAATCATTTTAATTTTAACCCATTTATTTATGTAAACAATAAACCGGTCTAATATCAACAAAACAACGATATCAAGATCGACGCTTTCACACTATTTACATCCAATATTCTCTAGTGAAAAACAGTTACCCGGAATAAATACACGGCGGAATGAAAGTACGCTTACACCATTACTATTCATAAAAATATAATTTTATGTAAAATGAAAATCTCATTTGTCTGTTATCTGCAAAATACTGCTCCATATAAATTGGGACCCTTAAAGTAAAATAAGTCCCTAAGGCTGGTTCCAACTTGGTCATGATGTATTATTTAAAGACCTGTGACCTTTAAAATATATGTTCAAAACTGTTTTTTTCAAATGTTTGTTTGCATAAAAGTAAACTGGTGACCTGAGGCAATTTTCAAACATGACACTGTGAGCTAAGGGGGATACCCTACTGGAGCAACCTATGGTCACATGAAATATATCTTTAAATAAAATATTTTACACCTGTGAGAATTCTAAGAAAGGTGGGCTTTTTACCTTGAAAACAAAAGCTGTCTTTCACAGTCTTTTGAATTCGCTGAGAATATCAATATCTTTCGTAAAGACATCTGGATTACTTCATTACTCTATCATCAAGTCGTTCTGTGTTACTGTTAATCAATCCTTCTTTCTGTTTCTACTTTCACTTTTGAACATAATCGATACTCACTTGATTTTAGTTGTAATGATATGGTAAAAACCAGTAGGGTCCCGAAATTTAAGCATTAGGATTGTATTGGTCTTTTTCTTTGTGGCCTGTAAAAATGATTGAATATTCCGAATAACCAAGGAAGTTTATTGAAGTGTGCAGTTCAAATAGTTTCGTCCAAACAGATTTTGCCTGGTGTACGTGACAGGAAAGTCGGTCTCCTGTCTAACAGGATGGGAGATCCAAATGAAGAAGAAATTCGCATGAGAAAAATGGATGCATATGGGACACAAAGAGATAAAGAATCAGAGAAAAATAAGGACACTTTAACAAAAGAACAACAAAAGAGGCAACGTTCATTTGTTATATACATTCCAAAAAAGTTGTTTTATTTATCTTTACTTATTGGTTTGATTGCACTAATTGTGACTTATGTTCCAAGAAGATATTTCTTGCCTTTTGATGAAGAAAATCCTTATGCCACACTTGGTGAGGAAGGATTAAAATTATTCAGGAAATATGACCGGAATGGAGATGATCAGCTGTCCATCAGTGAATACGAATCTCTCTTCTATCAGATGATAGGAAATGGCCTCAATGTAAGTATTTAAGCTTACATGTAGGGTTTATAAGGGAGAGAAGTTAACATTGGGTAATCAAAATCCACAACTCCCCCCTTTTTACATGTATAAAGTTGGCTGCCTTAAACTTTACTGTGCCCGTTGGGACTTCAGGATAGCACACTACACTTTTGCAGCTTCAGAATCCCTCTGAAACCTCCCCGGTAAGTCATGTAGATCAATAAATGTACTATTCTCATAATTGCTCTCATAATGAGTTTCTAATATTTTTACATGTACACCAATAAAAGTTACTTGCTAGGCTACATGCGATGCAGGAAGCGACGTCCATACTACCACGGCGTCCATAGGATGTATTGGCCATACCTTGAAAAGATGTATCGGTCATGGGACAACATCGTCCATACTTTGTGAAGACACATCGTCCATGGTTTTTTTTTTATTTATTTATAAATTTTATTTCTAAAGTATTGTGATATATACATTTAGATGTTTATTAAAACTTGTAAATGTATTATGCTGTATTTACATTATTTGTCATGTTTTTATATGTTATACACTTGGAATACACATTATATATATCATATCAGAAGTCCATTACTAGGGGGTTCCTCTAGTAATGGACTTCTGATCATATATACATGTATCATGTATATTGTATTATATGTCTCTGGCTTTATCTAATAAAATATTTATATTAATTTCTAAATGGATTTTTAATATCTTGCGTAAAACAAACTGAAAAAATAAAACAAATAAAAATGAATATCCAAGAGAGATTAATTTGTGTCATAGTTACATGAGTTAAAACAATAAGTTTAGTTTTGAAATATAAAACTAAGTAATCAGATAATGATAAATTTTAAAATCTAAGAAGATTGTTAATTGCTTATTATCATTTCTTTGATGAACATAAGTATTAATTATGCTTTTGTCAAGAAATTGTAAAGGAAATACACAACGAGATCACTATAAAAACACAGCACCAAGCTGAGACTGCATTAACTTAAAACCAGTCTTCTATGAGTCTACTTGTCTTCAGTAGATGACAGAAGTAAAAATAAATATATCATGTATATAGTCTGGATCTATACTGACTCTTTCAAACCGGAAAACTTGTACATAATAAATACTACAAAATCATATTCATGTTATAACTATGAAATAATACCTATTGTATTATTATATTTAATGTTATAACCACAATGGAACAAATACTTAAAGTATGGACAATACGTCTTTACAAGGTATGGACGATGTGGCGGTATGGCCGACACATCCTATGGACGATGTGGAAGTATGGCCGTCAGGTCTCGAAAGCGCTACATGTTAATTTATGAAGAATTTGCAGTTGTATAATTGTCCAGAATTATTTAATGAGTTTCATGTTTTTGCTCAAAACTTTCCACGGGAGTTTTGATAGCTACTTGCCAAGTTAAAATCAGAATCTAGGCCACCCTCAATATATTCTCTTTTGATGTTGCCTACCCATGCCTTGTAGAGTTGGGTAGGTACATGTAGGTAGTGATTTTTTTGTTTGTTTGGCCAACAACATAAGTTACATGTTTTTGGCAAGAAAATAATGTTGGAGCTGGAAAAATTCTTTAAAAAAAAATTTGAAATTATTTGTCATAAAATTTTCCGCTGGGTTACTGTTCCGGTGGGTAGGTTAGGCAACATCCAACAATCCTATTCCTGAACCTGACTACTGTAATTCAGAAATTTTTGTGATGTGTTATGTGTTGCCTTAAATTATGACAGGATATATGTTGGCAAAAATAAAAAAATTCTGATAGCATTATTTTATGCTGCATTTCTTTAAATTGCAATAGTCATATGCATGATCATGATGATAGACTAATTTTATCTAACATTTTTGTCCTTTGTTCAACAACTGCAATAATAAATGCACTCAGAAAACTTCTGAATTTGCAGTATTTACTTTGATCAAAATGCGAGTCCATTTATCATGTTTATTGTAATTGACATATATTCAAATATCTCTTCCCCAAAATAATGTAAATGCATGTGAATGAATGGAGATTGTACACACAAAAAATGTATCATAAGCACCATTGAGACATCAACCAAACAATGCAAAGCTACATACAATATACTGAAAACTGACTTAAGGTCACTATATGGTCTTCAGTGATGGACAAGCACCAGTTGCAGCTATTGATAGTTTTTTAAGATGCAGAGCATAAATATTGCTACTGTACCTAATTGATGTTGGATTAATTGTCAAATCATAATTGTGCAACTTACAAATTTTTCGGTTAATTTTTAAACAAAAAGCATCATATAGAATGTCATACATTTTTTAATCCAATATAGGAACAAGGAAAAAGTGAAATGGGAAAAATGCATATCAGACAATTTTCATTGCAAAAAAAACCACAAGCAATAACTTATTAAATGCAATTCTGGGTGAAAACTTATAATTCTAATGGAATGAAATGATGCTCTTTTAAAAAAAATTTAAATGCATGTATAAATCTGTTGCAAAAAAATAGTAATGTTTTTGGGCATTCATTACACAGTTCAATATTCATTTTGTGATCCTTTAACATGTTTGGGAAAATTTGATTCCATGCCATCTGTTGTCTGAAAACTTTATTATCAATAAGTACTGGTATACTATATACATGTATTATAAATGGCCTGTCTGAAATTTAGATTTTTATTTTGTCAATAAATGATATAATTTGATATTTTTATCAAAAGATACATGTACATAAAACTTGCAGTGTCTGTGTATAAACATGATAAATTGATGAAGTAATAGAAAAATAAAGGACTTGGGGTATCTGTAACCAAGGCGATACACAGTCCATACACTACAATGTATGAGACTGATTTGTGGATCTGCGTTTTTTTTCACAAAAAATCTTAAGAGTAAAAATACTTGTAAGTCATACACATTTCAGTATAACTTACGATCAATTTTAATCGTAAGATTTTTTGTGAAAAGAGTCGCTGGTCACAACTAGACTGTAGAACCTAAATAACCTTGCACCAAAAACAAGCAGTAGCACACAGAAGATGATTTTCACTTAGTATATAATTTATTTCCTAGACTGAGACTTGCCACCAAGGCTGTGATTTCCAAACTTATGTTTTACTCAATCATTGTACTAAATATATCAACAAGAATTAAACAATAAGTCAATTATAAATGACATAATATGTTGACAAGTATAAACAAGTTATTATCCTGACATAAAAGATAAATAATAAAATATAGCAATTCTTTAAGCAATATCTAAATTTAAGAAGGATAAGGATGAAGCTCTAAGGAGTTATCGTCACTTAGCTTATATAATCTCCATTGTCAATTACAGAAATGATAACTTATTGTCCAGATAGATAATATAATATAAAACATAATTAATGATAAATTCTTGGAGACTCAAACATATCAATAAAACCTAAACACAGCTAAAAGTCATTTTAACTGTCATATATCCATCCAATGGCACAAAATCAGTACACAACAGCAAAAAACACACAAAAAGCAAAGGAACAGCGCTTTTATTGCTGTTCTTTATCTCAAAGTCACAGTAAGGTCCTCAACACAGAGCAAAAAAAAAACTCTCAACACACTGCAATAAATCTTTTCAGATACATGTACGCATACCTGCCAACTTTTCATAATCTCCATGGTGGATTTTAAACTGTGCAAGAGGACCTAAAATTCTGCTTTTATTAATTGTCATAAAAGTTTTTAATCTACTAGTATATTGTTTGAATGAGTATGTATGTACGTAAATACCCTTTTGACTCATTTGAATGCCTGTTTTGAGGTGTTCAGTGTATATAATAAATAATTCCAAAATTCAAGTCCCCCATAAAATGACAAATCGTGAAGGTTGGCAGGTCTGGATACGTAAAAATTGCACTAGATACAGTTATCCTGTACTTTGCCCTATTGCTGTTTAAATGTACACACAAACAATCCAGGACAATAACATTTGATTTCTTAGAGTATTTTTATTGGAAAATGAAGAGGATTTGTGAAATTTCTGGCTTTTTCATCTTTTTGTATCCCATGTTTATACGTAAAAAATAGAGAGACTTATGGCCTTAGTTCTCTTCTGATAGTCTGCATTTTAAGTGCAATAGGGTTATAAGAATTGATAACAAACTCTGTCAGACCTTAACCAAAGTTAAGAGTCACTCAGTGTAATAATTTTTTTTTTCACAACAGGACTTCAGACTTTAGATATTCATTCTGTAATGTTATCATATTCTGCAAATGATTGTAAAATTACTTAAGTTCTTATCTTATTTCAATTTTTTAAGAAAGGACAAAAATGAGTGATTAATTTTTTCGATTTCAGAAAAATCTACATACAGATATATGTATCAAATATCAGTCGCATTATTCGCAATAATTTCTGAATTTACAATATACAAACAGTCATGTATTATGAGGATGCCATGCAGCCCAAGATATTCAAAACTATTTCGTCTTTACGAACTTTACCACCAGTAAAAAGCAGTTAATAGAATATTAATACTTTGAATTTTAATTGTTTGTTTGTTTAGTTGACAGAATTTGAGTACAATCCAGAACAAGAAATACAAGAAGATGACCAGTTTGTGACAATGAGAGCTTATTTTGAACCTTTGTTAATAGAGACTATGACAAAAGATTTGGAAGAATCGGTAAGAATTTTTAGAGACAGATAAAAAACCTTCTACTCAAATGCTGGTGTTTCTGTTAAGAAAAAAGTTATTCGTAAAGTCTTCGCTTCCAATGAGCTCACTGTCATATGTTTTTTTTTAAATCAACCTGCTACTGTAAAATTTAAAGAAATATGATCAACATCGTAAATGTTTATTTTTCAAGTACATGTAAATGTAATGGGAAAAAGCTTTTATTTATGGGCTATGAATAGTTGTATTTTATATTCCATGTTTTATCAAGTCAGAAAAGCATGAATTTTTTAAAACCTTTTAAATGCATTTTCTCATTGATTTATCCTGTGCTTTGTATCAACATAATGCAACATTTACGAATTAATGATTTTTATTTCCACAAACGGAGAAAACTTAAAGTTCGTGATTTTATATAAATTAGAAAAATACTATACATCATCTTTTGTATCTATTTGAAATTTGTCAAACAATTAGTTTAATAGATTTCTTGTCCAGAAATATAGCAATTTGGACATTATCTTGTTTTTTTAATTGTTTAAAAAAAAGTCACTCTCATTTATGATACAATAGCCTATAAAAAGTTTGTATTGATCCAATGAATTGTTCAGAAATGGTTGAGTGACACCATGTAGGTAAATGTCGATATTATATAGATTGTTTATTTGAATCAAATTTCATAGTTAAGTGTCAGATGTTTAGATTAGAATATTTATAAAACGTGTTAAATATATAGATTTTTGTTTCAATGATTGAAAGTTTTGTTAAATTTCTAGTGTGAAATGAACAAAGAAAACAATATTAGGGATAAATTAGAATTGAATTTGAATTAATTTACATCTAAATGATACATAATGGTTTCATTTTATCCTTTTATTTTGATATTCTACGCTTAAAATGAACTTAATTAAAAAAAATTACCAGAAGAAACTTTTTTGACCAATTTCTTTGAAGTTTTTGATCTATTTTGATAAAACAACAATTATGGGCAAATTGATATGTTCAAGAACTTTTCCATCTCGTGCCAGAATAGGAATTTTGTATCATCATAATGTACAGCAAGTCTAAAAACATTTAACCATTAAAATAAAAAGAATATACCAAGGTGTAATGCCAAACAATAAGAAAAACAGACAATGCCATGATCAAAAGAAAAATGATGAAAAACAAACAACTGCAGTCAATAAAACACTCCATAAAAACAAAGTATTAAGGTGGTACCAAACACCTCAACTAAAATTAATTTGGCTCGTTTAATTTTCATAAAATTTTGACAAAATATTTACTTTGACCCTTTGACAAAAATATAAAAATTTCAAAAAACTTGAACCACACACTTTTTTGGAAAAATTTCATTGGATATATAGCAGTTTGACAAACACTAATTTTGATCACTGAGAAGCTAAATATTTCCTTAACAATAGAATGTGATTAAAACGTTCAGCTGATTTTTACAGAGTTATCTCCCTGTAGGGTTATGTACCACCTTAAGGTTACAATAAACCATTAGATTTTATGGGTGCAGCCATTTTATGAAGATAACATGGTATTCAGAATTAAAAGTATGGCTAATCCTGATTGGTTGATATGTGCAAACGTTATTTTTTATTATTAGAGACTTAGTGCACTCTGCATTATACCAAAGGCAAAATAATATTTTCCTTAGCCCTAAACGGAACTGAGATGTCTTTTCAACGCTAGGATGAGACACATGTTTTTAAGTGCAAAATTGATAGGCATGGAAGATAAGTACAAATTACGTTAAGAAAAGCAACGGGAACCTATATTTTTTGGACCAAAAAATACTGTCCAAATAATTTTTCTTTAAATTCTAATAAGGTTTCGTTAAAAAAATCAACTTTCTAAAGTCTGTATCTCGAAAAAGGCTATCATTGTCGCCTATGGGAAAATTAATTGTTTATTACAATCTTAACAGAGCATTGCATAATCATTTTTTTCAAATTTTTACATGACCAATGATTGCATTTTATGAAGTAAAGATTAAACAAAATACTAATTATAAGTGTCAAGTATGAATAAAAGGAATTAGGTATATCACATTGGCACTAAAAAAAAACAAAACCTAAAGTGTTTACACTTGTGAAATATTCATATTCATTTAAAAAAAAAAACTTGATATTTCATATTGGTCTCAGTGCTTAGGTAATCTAGGTGTCAGGTGATAATTCAAATTTACAGATCATGCAGTCTATCACCTCCTGTCAGTCACTCTGTTCATCAAGTTTGAGATATTTCCTAATTGTAATGGAGATTTTATTCTTGGTACATATTTCTAATAAGAATTGTTTGAAATAACTTTTTAAGTTAAATTGAAAAAAAGATGGTCTTAATGTAATTATATATTATACTTAAAATCCTCAATTCTAAGTGAAGTGCAATTCACTTCTTTAAGGGAATAGAACTTTGAAAAATGAAGTGTTCAAAATTACTTTACAAACTGCATGTAAATTCTTATTTTATTTGGGGACAACTCTTACAAAACATATGTAATGAAAGAAGAATGGTTTTGTAAAAAATGAGAGGTGTGTTTGAATAATTTGTATGTGATAAACCCATGTGAATGTGTGGTTCAGTGGTTTATTCCATGACAAATTGCTTTAATTTGACCACAACTATTGTATTGATACTTAGAAATTGCATTATAATCTAAATGAACAAAAGTATATTTTTACATTGAATTCCATGGTAATTCTGTATATTTTTAGTACTTTGGAAATATTGATTCTCTGACTGGACTAAAAGAGTGGACCAAACTAAATCATGAATGGATGAACTTTGGTGTTAGACATTTTTCTATGTTCTTCCCGAAGGAGAAAGTTCAACAAGGCAATATATATGAACTATATACTGAAGAAAGATCATTCATGTCATCCATAAGTGCACCACATTTATCCAGTAATCGATTTTATCCATCCAAAATAGATGATAAGTTGATTGGATTATACCGTATTCTATCAATGTTTCATCCAAGACCATTTTTGATGATACGATTTCCTCCAAAAGGTGGTGTTGCTCTTGTTCGAGCTCAAAATGATGATTATATTGAAATTGTTTTTAGGTAAGTATAAAATGATGATAAGGGCCCTACATTGATGATATTACAGTGTTCTATAATGGTCAGTCACATCAATAAGTTATTGTAAACCACTTATAGAAGGTTCTGTAGAAACTTTAATTCTATGTAGTCAGTCAAAAAAGTAGGTTTTTGTTGAAAAAATCCAACATCTGAAGATAAAATAATTACTGAAAATCAGATACTGCTTAACCTTAAATGCTTTAAAGAAAAACCATCTGAACATAATAATCTAGTATCACAATCTACATGTATATATAAACCCCCTAAAAAACAGAAACTTTTTATTTCTTTATCAACTATGGTATTTTAGGTTCCATGCTGAATTCCAGTTGAACGAGCCACCACATAATCCATTCTGGTTTACACCAGCACAGTTTACAGGAAGTCTTATTGTTTCAAAGGATTATACGAGAATACTTAACTTCAACTTATATGTACCTTCAGATAAAAAATTAAATGTTGGTAAGTAAGAGGAGATAATTTTTGTTACACTGTTAAAAAGTTTGGTATTTTGTATTTGTACATAGTAGTGTGTGACTTAATAGGAGTATATCAGTTTAGAAAATCTATTGATTTGACCATTTTTGTATTTTATATCTATTTGCTGTACACTGGACAAATTCACATTGTTTTAGGTGTGTTTTTAAATTTTTTAAATATTTGCTATACACTGGAAAGATTTACATATTTTTTGGTGTGTTTTAAAATTTTATAGCTATTTGCTGTACACTGGAATTATTCACATAGTTTTTGGGGTGTTTTTAAATTTTATAAGTATTTGCTGTACACTGGAAATATTCACATAGTTTTTGGCGTGTTTAAAAATTTTATAACTATTTGCTGTACACTGGAAATATTCACAATATTTTTGGCATATTTTTGAATTTTATGACTATATTTGCTGTACACTGCAAAAACTACATTGTTTAAGGCATATCTTTTAATTTTTCAATTTTACTAATCTTTTGTTAAGGTTGACAGGACGCAATCTATGAATAAAAAGAGTTTCTCATTTCCATAGATACCTAGAACAAGGAGTGATGTTTTTTTAACCACAAAATATTTCCCAGTGTATAAAATTCTAACATCCAAAATCTTGATCTTCCATGGTCAGTGACAGTATAGCATATCACATGATTGATTGTTGATGTTCAATGCCACCTATAATAATACATGTGAAAAATCGCACAGTTGAAGTATAGTCTTGTGCAGTACACATGACTAACACATTTGATTTCCATCTTAAACTGAAAGATAAAGTCAGACCCATCTTTATTTTAGAATGTACCGATATGTGTTTTGTATTCCATTCATGCAAATATGTTTCAATTAATGAGAGCCATTTTTTTGGATGGAAAGAAAGCATATGAAACAGTTCTATATTTTTATGCTCCACCTACGATAGTAGAGGGGCATAAGGTTTTTCTGTCTGTGCGTCTGTTCGTTCGTTCGTTCCTCCATTTGTTCATCCATCCGTTCGTCCGTCTGTCCTGCTTCTAGTTAAAGTTTTTGGTCAAGGTAGTTTTTGATGAAGTTGAAGTCCAATCAACTTGAAACTTAGTACACATGTTCCCTATGATATGATCTTTCTAATTTTAATGCCAAATTAGAGAGTTTTGACCCCAATTTCAACATAGAAAATGATAGTGCGAGTGGGACATCCGTGTACTATGGACACATTCTTGTTTTTTAATACTTAAAGTTATTTATAAAACAATAAAAAGTTGAATTTTTGTGTGTTATTTGTTTACTGTCTCATTGGTATGTGCCCTACATCTATGTATGAGATTTGTTTTATAAATATTTATATAGATATGGAATGGTTAAATGGACCAAGTGAAACTGAAAATATGGAAGTTGATATTGGTTATATGCCTCTAATGACAGCCAACATTACTGCTAAATCACGATTAAGAAGGCATTCACATGATGCAGAGGAACCAATAGAAACTGATGACACATTACAAGATACAGTCAATAACATTATTTGGACTCATAAAATAGATTTAGATGAAGCCCTTCAGCAGCTGGAAGTGAAAATGTATCCATTTAAAAAAGTAAGTTTCTTTAAATATAGGAGTTAAATATAAACCATTTGGAAAAAAATAACCTAAAGGAAATTTTAGTAGAATATCTAAAAACAATTATCATTTGCTAATTTTAAATTAATAGTCGGATTTACCACAAATCATTTGAAATGAACTTTAATAGACCTGGATTTTCTCGCTGCATTGAAGACCCATTGGTGGCCTTCGGCTGTTGTCTGCTCTTTGGTCGGGTTGTTGTCTGTTTGACATATTCCCCATTTCCATTCTAGATTTTATCTAATTAGTAGAATATATAATTAATGTCAGGTGCCTAGAATACACAATCAACAGCCTTGTCTGTTTGTTCTCCTTGTACGTGAAACTTGTTTTAGAATTCAATAATTTAATTTGGACGTAACACGTCTTTTGATGGCTGAAAGTGTTTTATCTATCAGCTTATAGGAATAATTTTGTCATGCGACCGTGACTTCACCAACATTTTTTTCAAAATTTACTCCTTAAAAATGGAATTCAGAATTAAATTTTAAGAATTATTATAATATTTTTTCTGTCTATTCGAAATAACCTAAAAAAATGTGGTGCACACTTTTAAATAACTCGCTACACAGGTTATTCAGTGAGCACCACATTTTTGAAGTTATTTCTTCATAGACAGAAAAAATATAACAGTTATTTGTTGAATGGATGTGAAACTAGGCACCTCGATAAACTATGAAAATGTAAAGGGAGATAACTGTGATATTCAACGTGTTAAGTAATAATGTTAAGGACTTATTTGTCTGGGGAAAGTTCATAGAAGTTAGCTTTTCTTACAATTAGTACAATATCCCTACTGTAAATTTGTATAGATGAGTGTAAAATTTTTATAATTATTTCATATCAATGTTATTCTATTTGCACCAGATCCTAAAATCTTTTTATAACATAGAGTACACACAAGATGATTCATAAAAAATCACAATTTACGGTGAATTTTCACCCTGAATGCAAGTGATTGTTATTGATTCACTCTAAAATATCTCTCTGTATATTATAAGAAGTATAAAAAGTTGTAAATCAGAATTTGTCTACACCAGCAAGAGTGATTTTTTACATAATCACTTTGTGTGTACTGTAACAAACAGCAGAAGCCATTTTGACCTGTTTAATAATATGTCAACTTTATCTAAATAATATCATGTCTATTTTTGCATGATAAAAACTCTTGATAGAACATATATCCCTTTTTGAGCTTCAGAAACTGAACATTTTTGTCGAGCCTGCGACTTTTGTCGCAGAAAGCTTGACATAGGGATAGTGATCCGGCGGCGGCGGCTACAGCGGCGGCGGCGTTAGCTAACTTCTTAAAAGCTTTATATTTTAGAAGGTGGAAGATCTGGATGCTTGATATTTTGTATATGGATGCCTCATGTTACAAAGTTTCTGTCAGTCACATGTCCAATGTCCTTGACCTCATTTTCATGGTTCAGTGACTACTTGAAAAAAAAGTTAAGATTTTTTGTAATGTTAAATTCTCTCTTATTATAAGTAATAGGATAACTATATTTGGTATGTGCATTCCTTGCAAGGTCCTCATGCCCGTCAGACAGTTTTCACTTGACCTCGACCTCATTTCATGGATCAGTGAACAAGGTTAAGTTTTGGTGGTCAAGTCCATATCTCAGATACTATAAGCAATAGGTCTAGTATATTCGGTGTATGGAAGGACTGTAAGGTGTACATGTCCAACTGGCAGGTGTCATCTGACCTTGACCTCATTTTTATGGTTCAGTGGTTATAGTTAAGTTTTTGTGTTTTGGTCTGTTTTTCTTATACTGTATGCAATAGGTCTACTATATTTGGTGTATGGAATGATTGTAAGATGTACATGTCTAGCTGGCAGGTGTCATCTGACCTTGACCTCATTTTCATGGTTCAGTGGTCAAAGTTAAGTTTTTGAGTTTTGGTCTTTTTTTCTAATACTATATGCAATAGTTCAACTATATTTGGTGTATGGAAATATTTTATGATCTATATGTCAGTCACGCAGGTTTTATTTGACCTTAACCTCATTTTCAAGGTTCATTGCTCAGTGTTAAGTTTTTGTGTTTTGGTCTGTTTTTCTTAAACTTTAAGCAATAGGTCAACTATATTTGCTGTATGGAAGAATTGTTAGCTGTACATGCCTGCCTAGCATGGTTCATCTGACCTTGACCTCATTTTCATGGGTCATTGGTCAATGTTTAGTTTACTTGGTTAATGTTAAGTTAATGTGACAGTTGTAATAAAGCTTTATATTAAGGACTATCAACATAATATCAATGATTAGTAAAGAAGGCGAGACATTTCAGCGTGTGCACTCTTGTTAAAATAGCTTTACATTTTCTAAATTTCAGTGTAAAAATGGTTTTGTTGAAATATCATAAATGACTAAAACTATTTGGTTTTCTAGCCATGTTGAAAATTAGTTTTAGATTCAAAAGTAACCACTGGATTAATGTTGCTACTCTTATGTTTATTTTGCAGATTACCTACTATAACTTTACAGAAACTATAAAGAAAGCACAAGAAGAAAATAAGTTAATACATTCCATTTTATTATGGGGTGCTTTAGATGATCAGAGTTGCTGAGGTTCTGGGCGAACTCTCCGGGAAACATCCCTGGAAAGTTCGCCCGTTGTTTCTCTCCTTGAAGAGAGATTCATCAGTAACTGGAATTTAGTGGTTGATTTGAAGGTAAGTCCAAATGATTTTTAAGTGGTCTAAACAAACTTTTTTTTTTTTAAATTTGAAGATGAGGCTCTGGGATATAATTTTTGAAGGTGAGGTATAATTTCAAGTTTGATTTTTTCTGATCTGTAAATTTCTTTTTTATTTCGGATAAGCATATTATTTGAAAAATATTCTAAAAGACATCAGCATTTATATATATCCTTGTATTATGGGTTTTTCATGCTATTTAGAATGCATTGTGACATCACAATTTCCATTGAAAAAGCATGCATAGTACGAATTCATATGATCTGACAATATAAAGAAAATTTAAAAAAAAATGGTTTTCAAATAGATTTAATGTTGCAGCTACTTGAATTTATTTAATTAAATTTCATTTTATGAAAGTAGAACACATTTGTGGCAGAATCAGTTTCTTTATAAATATACACATAAGTTCAATATTAAATAAAGATAATTTTAGTTCACCTGGCCCAAAGAGCCACTGTGATCTGTTAAGAATAGAACACATACAAGAGTGTAGGACACGGAAATCTCAAGTGACACCAGAGAGTAAGATTTGTAGTGTATTTGCAAGGGTTGTTAGTGATAAAAGAAATCTTTGCTAAAGGTGTGTGGAATTTCCCTGTTGTGAATTTTTTTTCTGGGATTATAGGAAACTGTACGGCCTTCAACAATGAGAAAAACCCATAACTGTATAGTCGGCTATAAAAGGCCCCTGATTTGGTTTCAACACCTCATATTCTTTGAAACAGCTTTTCATTGAATTATTATAAAGTGGACAGCTTTCATGTAAACTGGTATGATTTTGTTTGAAAAATGTTTAAAAAAAAATGTCAATGAGCATGTTAGCTGTCTTATCCAAGAGACTGTCAATAGAAGGTAACCATTTTAGATTACAACATGGCCAAAAGCTTAATTAAACATAGATATATCATAGATTTGGCCGACAAAGTGTAAATAAGCATTTAGGACAATTTTTGAAAAATTGCTTAAACACAAAGTGCAACAAGGATAGACAAAAGATGACGAGTATTTATTTTTTTTAGATATAGGTGTAATATCTACTGATGCATAACTCCCTGTTTTTCAGGAATTTGAGAAAGATTCCTCTCAGCCAGAAATCCAGAAAATAGCAGCCCATTTCATGGAGAATTATAAATTCCCAGTTATGATGTATGTAGCTTATCCTAATGGTACAATAGTACATAAAGTCAACGCAAACGAATATATGGACCAAGGACCTTATGAGGGTTTTATGCAAAATCCATATGCTGCATTCCTTAAAGCTGGCATTGCAAATGCTGAAAAGATGGCATAATTCTATGATCTGTTTTATGTTAAATCAAAATATTGAAATCTATGCAAAATCAAATGGTATTCAGGTATATATATATTTATACAGTCACATAGTTTTGTAGTTGTATTTTTGTGGTTAATTCATATTGATTTCCTATAAAATTATTATTCTTATTGAGGTTCTGTACTTTTAATTTTTGTGGATCTTGTTGTTCTGAAACCATGAAATTAAATTATATGTAAAATTCCTTCTCAATAGTATTGAAACTGTTTTGAAATCACCAGATTGATTCCTTGAATCATTAAGTTTTATCTAGTTCAAGGAAATTTGTATCCTGAATAAAAGTTTTCCACAATATGGATAAAGCTACCTACTTTCCAATTTCAGTCAAAATTTTCTTACGGTCAAGAAGGTAAGATATTTTTAACTAACCTTATCCCCTTATTCGTTTACTGGGACAATTGCAACAATATTTTTTTATTGGGATTTTTTTATGTTCATGAAAAAAAAAAATCCAAACTTTCCTGTCCCTTCACCAACTACTTGTACGCAGTTGTAGTTCTAAATGAAGGTCAGGGTCTGTTCTGGATGAAAAGCATATTCCACAAATTATTATTGTACTCTACATAGAATGTTACTAAATGCGGTCAATGAGGAGTTCTGCCTGTCTTTACGGAAAATGAGCAAAAAGAGTTTAAAATTCTATATTTCATCTCATTGTTTTTTCTTGTGATACTTGAAGACTGACTTGTTTGATACATTGGAATTGTTCATTGTTCAAAAGATCATTTATAACAAAAAGGTAGTTTTTCAGTGATATTCAAATCTTCTATTTAAGTATGGACCTACTGTCTCATTTGGTTGCAAAAAATCCTGAATTTTAGCTATAAGTCCCCTCTCATATGTCTCATGTACAAAAATGTATAATAATCATTAACTAAATAAATCATGTAACAGTAAAGTAAGAATTATCTCCCTTGGATTCAAAAATCAAAACTTTTTTTTATAAATTGTCATCATATAAATTGAATCAGGAAAGAACAGCCACAAATTGTTCTTAAGGGATACCTTATTCTCTCTGGTGGCTCTTTCAACATAAATGTTGAAAAATTTGTATCACATGACATTTATCTAGGCAAAGCCTAGATTTTGTTGCTCATTAATTCGGGAAATGAATGGATGTATTTTAACAATTTTCACCTAAAATTAATCGGACTCTTTTCTTTTTTGACCCCTCAGCCTGCTAAACATCTATGGCCCATTGACTTTTCCGAGTTATTTAGTTGATCATTTCTTGCAGACGACATGTTGTTGATCCTAACCATGCCTTTCTGTCAAAATCATGTGACTGGTATGATAAGACCCAGAAAAAGATGGTCTCAGAACTTCAATTTAAAAATTGAGTATCAAGGTGCTCATAAATTTCTATTAATAAATTATAATAGATCATTTATGTCTGTTACCTTGACCTTTAGTTTGTTTATAACTTATTTTTTTCTATGTTCCATTTCTATGTTTGAAATGAAAATCTGTCAAGAAAACATTCATTTTATTATACATAATATATGTGTTTTAGAGATAAAATCTCAAATTTTATCTTTTATATGTTCTCTTTTAAAAGGGTGGCATTAGACGTAAAGGAGATAATTGTTTCAAAGAGAAACATTTGTGCATTCTTGGTGCATTATATCTGCATAGACTAAAATTTGATGAACATTTTTTGCTAAACAGTTGAAACCTTATGATTCATTCATCCATTTTTTTTGTACAAAACTAGGTGGTAAGGTCAGTAATGTCCCTTTCTTGGGACATATTTTCATATTATCTTATACAAGCAAGAAATTATATATCATCTGTTCACTTGACGTTGTACACTTTTCCTGTGAAAAATCACTAGAGAGCAATGTGTTTTTGTATTAATTAACTTACATTAACCTATGACCTCAGTTAAAAGTATTTTTGGGTGTTAAACAAAGTACAATTGCATATTTAAGCAGATGCCATTCCAAACATCCAAAACACAGGTGAGCTAGGTGTGTGAACCATTGCCCCAAAATTTTTGCAAATGATTACAAACATTTTTGCATATCATTACAAAAGAGACTAATGCAAATTAATTTAGGCAAAGTCAAAAACTTTTTATAAAGTTTGGTTAAAACTTGATAATGGAGCTCGTTTCTTCTTTAATTTTCATTGATTTATATGTACATATGTACTGTTTTATATGAGTGTGCATTACTGTGCAATATATTACGTAGAAATTTTAATTCATCTGTTTAAAGTAATTTGATTACAGATACAGTTGAAGGTGAATTAGTTATTCATATTAAGGTGTGATGTGGTTATTTTATAGTAATTTTGCATAAGAAATATAATATATATATTGAAATTGTTATAAAAGTATACATTTCCTTTAGAGTAGTTATAATAGGGAGTATTTTTGTATCAGTATATTATTATTGAAGTCTGTTTATTTCTCTGGAAACAGAACAATTTATTACTATTGTAACAGTGTATGAAGACAATGTCTAAAACCATTTTTGGCGAGATGTTGTTTGATGTTTTACTAGTTACAATGGTTTTGTAAAGTGTTTTGTTACCATAGTAATGTATACTTCACTAGTGATTAAAGTAATTTTTTATTAAATATATTATAATTATCAGTATTCATACATGGGTGTTTTGAGGTAATGGTAAATTTCTGTGATTGTTGAATCTATTTTAATTATTTTGCTATTAAAATTTTATTTTTGTTAGGAATTGACTGAATTATCATTCTTTCAACTAAATATATGACGTAATTTGAGTTTGAGTTATTTCCTATGGCCACCATATTGGAGGTAAAAATGGTTGGTTTTCTTATTTGACTAACCAAATGGAAGTATGTGGTGCAAACTAGCCTGATAATAGGTCCTTACTAGATGATAATGATGAATTGTGGTAGGCTTAAAGAAATTAAAATTGGTCAGAAAACAACTTTTTGTAAAGTTAAGAGGTTAGTATAACAAGTTAATTTAGTTGATTTATAAAGGGATTTGTGCACATAGACCTCCAACATGGTGACAAAAGAGAAATGACTCTTCCCAAATTACGTCAGTTGAAAGTTATCAATAGATGTATAATGTATAAAGCCTGGCATCTTTGATGAGTTATACCACTGTCCATTTGTCCTCCATTTGTCAATCTGAGCAAGGCGTGTGTCGTCATTATCAAGTTTTTCTTGATTATATCTTTCTTAAATTTTTTAGCTCCCCAAGGTTGTGATTTTTTTGCAATTGTCTGTCTTCCCGATTATGACAATTTTACTGAGTGTGGATTCACATTGTGAGTGATGCATGCATAGAGGGAGATGCTTACTTGGTGAACACACTTGGTCTCACTCCTTTTGGAGTTCATAAGAATTCCTCAGTTTTTGGTTTGTACCTCGATTTATATCTTCTCAAAGGATTTTTAAGATTTTGAACATCAGTGTAAACTACTGTTGCCTTTAATAAAGTGTGGAAACTTGATTCATCCGAAGGACGGGCATTGTTTTATGTTTCTTGGATTAAATTCTTGTGATAGTCTGTCAAATGCTATATCATGTTTTTTCAGGTTTTTTTTTTAGGCAATATCCATGTCCATTTTGAATCCTCCACCTTTATTTCGTTATAATTGTCCGTAATCTTTTTGGAATAGTTCTTTTATTCTAAATCAAGTCTGACATATGGAACAGCGTTGTATCTATTTGTTTAGTTTTGAAACTTGCAGCATTGAAAAAAATATAGGGTTAAGACTTACGATATTGACATAATATTAAAGTCACAAAAGGCGATATAAAGGATACCACAGATACAGTTGTCTGCCTCATATGTTGACTTACATCTGGAGATTAACAATGAGGGTCGGTTGAGAACACAAGTTTACGACAAAGGGGATGGTTTTAGATGCCCAATTGTGAATTTTTCATTTATATGCAGCAACACTCAAGCAGCGCTTGCATATGGAGTATATACCTCCCAGCTTCCGTTTCATGATTTCCTATCATGATTTCCATGATAGAGTGTTGCTGCTTGAAAGGAAGGTATTGAAACAAGGGTTCCATGTGGTAACTGTGAAATCGTCCTCTCAAAAACATTACGAACGACATCAAGAGTTGGTTGACCGTTATGGAGTATCTGTCAAAGATGACCACGGATATGTCCCAGTTGTCGTGGCCAGAATCCGTCCTCGTTTCCTGGATTGTGACATCTCCGAGTGAGACTTATCACTGGATTTGTTTTTGCATGATCAACACGACGGGTGCCACACGTGGAACAGGAACTTCTTATCTTTCCGAATCATCTGAGTTCGCCCCCGGTTTTTGGTGGAATTCGTGTGGCCAAGTCTTTGGTTTTTATGTGGTGGTTTGTGGCCTTGTTCGTCTATTCATCGTTTTTCTTTGTATGTTATGGCATTTTAAGCTTTTTGTCAACCGTTATGAGTTTCAAATGACTTTTTATGTCGTCCGCCTCTTGTTTACACCAGCCACTTCATGTTCATCGATTCAAAATGAACCTTTTTGTACTTGTAAGACATCATCAATCAATAATTGAAGTTGGAAAAATTGGATCTCTTTTTTCTATCTTTTTTTTTATCGAATCATGTATTGCAATGTTTGGTAGTTTAACCTGTTTAGGTTCGTGGTTATACTATTAGCTAGTTCTCTTTATATTTGGTTGAAAATGTTATTTTCGTGACTAAAAATGTGCGCTGTCACATTTTTTAAAACTTCATAACAATGACAATATTTCCTGGCATAAAGGAAAATGATTCTTCTCACAACGCAACCTCTAAAGTTGCTGTTGGGTTCTTGTTTAATTGTATAGCACACATGATATAAAATGAAAGAAGCAAGGTTTCACATGATATAAAACTGGGACTATTACTTAGTATAATAGTCCCAGTATAAAATGAAAGAAGCAAGGTTTAAATACTTCGGTTGTGTGCACGTATTCAGAATTTGTTGAATAAATGCAATTTTCTAAAAAAAAAAAAAAAGTCAATTCTCAAGCCCTGATAAAATAGTTAACAAACAAAAAGGTCATTCATGATAGAAGGAACTAAAATTAATACATTTACCAGTATGTGACGTTTCAGATATTGCATGAGAATTGTAGAACGCAACTGTTTAAAAAATTGCCAAAATAAATAAAACTTCTGAAATCCCTTCGACAAAGTTCGTGAAATTAACAACAATAACACAAAATTTACTACATAAAATTGCTGAAAGTTCCAAAGTATTGAAGTAGAGACTAGGCTTCTCCTTTTTTCGCCGTACAATCCATCTATTCAATCTGCACTATGTACAACCTTCCAAAAAAAGTCGGTTGTTTAAAAAAATCAATCGAAAGGTAAGTATTACCTTGACACCGCATTCCCAAATTTATAAAGGTTTGAGGATTCATGTCGGGTACAGTTATGGTCTAAAGTTTTGACATATATTTAAAGGACCTCTTCAGAACGCTCTGCATTTGTTATTAAATTGTATAATGTGCAATATAAGAAAATTGTGAATACTGAATTCATAAAAAGCTGTGTTTCCGACTTATGAGTTTGAATGTCCCTTTGGTATCTTTCGCCTCTCTTCTACACAATCACGTTATTGTATTCAAAAAGCTGTTTGTGATGTTTACGTATAAAAAAGAGACGCAGCTCAATGAAACGACACACATAACCAAAAATACATCTAGAGGTCTTCATAATGTATAAAACTCTTAATCACCCCAGCCTAAAAGCTGAAACTACTATAACGTTGTAGGAGTCTCAGTAAAAGGCAATGTCAAAAACATGTTTTACTAGTTTATCAATTTAATCTCATTAGGCGGGCAGGCCTGGGACCTATAATCTAAACATATCACTTTATTAGCCCAAGACTAGGCTAACTAGACGTAAATATAGAATCAATGTAAAAATTTATTTTAAAACTATGGTATACTAAGAGGTTCAAAATAAACTCATCATAGATGCGAGGATTAAAATTTAGTATGCCAGACGCAAACCAGATCTATGCTGTGTATATAAATTGATTATGCTATACATATATTAAGACATAAACTACATAAAAAGGAGAATTTCTGAGTGCACAGCACATGTTTCCTTCATCCAGTACGTGGTGGCCAAAAATATACAAAATTTTAAAGCATAAAAACCAAAGCACCAAAAACAGAACAGCCAAGGTGTTGCAATTTAATTCGTTTAAGCATAGTTACACGATTTTAAGAAATGGAAGTTTTCAAAGAAAACACAACATTTGAATTATGGCAATGTCGAGTTACTGACTAATGGGCTACGTAAAGGGAAAATATCTAATTCATAACGTTCAATACATAAAAATGTATTAAAAGTGTCGTAAAAAATACAGACCACGAAATCACCCGACTCCTCCGAAAAACAGACTCACAAACAACTAGGGATCGTCCGAAATACCACATAGTGCAATAAAACACACCAATGCAGTTTGCCTTTGAACATAACAGCACACTATTAGCAACATATCTCACACAATATGATAATGTAAACGTGCTATTCCAATTTCAGTGTCTACGAAACGTGTTTCTAGAAAAAAAGTACATCAGGTACATTCGAGGTCAACTCAACATTTATAACTTTCAAAGCATTAACAGAGAGCAAAAAAAAATAAACAAATGTTAACTTTATCTAAGCGGAGATGCAACATTGGTTGTATTACAATAAAAAAAAAAATGAAATGAATCGGTACGATTTTGTGTGGACTGTCGATTGCTGAATAGTGTAATGAACTTGCAACCGTAGACATATATTATCGCAAAAAATGGTAAAAAAAATTAATCTTATTTTATATTTGCTCAAGTCATTTGACTATGACTATGACATGGTGATAGGTTCAGATATTTAGGTTAACACAAACAGATACTACCCAAATATATAAGTTTTGTTTTGGGTTTTATTTTGTACAACAATTAAAGGGGCATTAGCTACGAGATATATAAAAAGATTAAAATATGATTTTTTGGGGTTCAATCATTAATGAAAGTGAAATAGTGAAATAATAATTAGCTTTTAGCAGCCACTTTGGTTCAATTTTGTCAAAATAAGCTAAGAAACATCGCTGATGAATTATTCACTTGCAAGTGAATAATTCGACCTCATTTAATTCGTATTCATATGACCTTCAATTTAACCCCTTAGCTAGAGATGGGATACGCATGAATTAGGCGTGTTCAGTTATTAAAAGGAAAAGAATGTCAACACTGAAAGTGAAACAAGGGTAAACCATTTGATTGACTGATTCGATCCACAAAAACTCATTCTTATACAGGTAAAAACGATGATTAACGTATATTTTTAACCTATATTATAAAATCAAACAGACCTAGAAAAATCCAATTGCACGAGTTCGCTATCTATTTATATCTATATTTATGTTTATATCGGTTTTATAACCATCGGCAGTCTTCGGAGGTCACCTCGATAGTTAATTAGATGGCGTCTAGACTAAAATAAACGCGAAATGCTGACACATATTGCCACATGTGGAGCAGGATCTGCTTACCCTTCCGGAGCACCTGAGATCACCCCCCCCCCCCCCCCCCAGTTTTTGGTGGGGTTCGTGTTGCTTAGTCTTTAGTTTTCTATGTTGTGTCATCTGTACTATTATTTGTCTGTTTGTCTTTTTATTTTTGGCCATGGCGTTGTCAGTTTGTTTTCGATCTATGAGTTTGACTGTCCCTCTGGTATCTTTCGTCCCTCTTTTATCGAGCCCAAGCATTGTAAATTGTTTATTTTAGACTTTTTATAATTTGGATATATGTTTTATTTAGTATGTTATAAATCAAATATGAGAATTTGAGTCAGATCGGTGAACATGAATTTGACAGCTAATGCTCCTTTAATGTAACGACTATATGAATCAGACAATGGACAAAAGTACTGATGGAGGTAAATTACTTTTTGTCATAAGTTTATTGACTGGCAAATATTACCAGCCAGGTTGAATTATACTGTTTATTGTCTTGATTGAACTGAGTGTCCCATCTACATGCGACAATGATCGATACTACAGGGAAAGAAATTATATATTTCTTTTCCGTTTTTGGGGTGGTCAATTAGCATCTATTTTGGGGACGGTGATTAATGATATATATCATTTTTATATGATCTTTTAGCTTGTTTCTTAGTTAATTTTACTTTTTTTATAATGTATAGTTCATTTCAGCATCAATATTAGAAGGCATTCAGCATATGTCAAAACTTTTATTTCCAATATGGCAATGTTCCCGACATTATACTTGTGGTAAAAAAAAACAATTTATTTATTATGCCTGTTAAATGTTCCTCATATATGAATAACTGAAATTATTGTAGTTTTAGAAAAGCCTTTCACCTTTGATACAAACGATGAAGATCCCGATTCATACAAATACACTGCTGTCGAAACTACAGACTTTTACCGTGGTGGGCGACCATATAAATTATTCCCAATAACTGGAGTTAGTTCACCATTCTGACTGTGGAACTGCCAAGCAACTGTCGCATCTTGAAACTTGACATGACTTTTAATCATTGTAAAACAACCAGCAATGGAATCTTTCATATATCAATCAATGACAGAATCTACCGTGAAGGATACAGCGATACAAATTCGGGAAATTTTGAAGAGCAGATGTTTGATATCCCAGTACATCTTTTGACAGAATGGAAGAATATTATTGCTATTGCACTGAACGAAGAAAGCCCAGCAGTGTACTGGCTGTCTGACATTAAATTGGAAATGAAATATACCAAGAAATGAATTATTGATACTAACATGATTTATAACATGCTTTTCTTAAATTTTCCATTGACCAATTGAGAAATGTATAACAAAACAAGGTTCAAACTCCCTCAGACAAAACTAACCTTTGACAAATTTGACTATTTTAGGTCTCTTTTGGTCATATAGCTCCTTAATCAAAGTTCTCAACCGAACCTTTCTGGTCAATTTCAGGAATATGACAGTTTTTTTCACTCGTTCCGATATTTGATAACATTTGATTTTGTCTGTTTTTATGGAATTCCCCTTTTTGAATTTACCTTGGAGTTTGGTATTTTTGTTAATCTTTTTTTCTGATATAATTCAAGGCATAAATGAAAATAACACTATTATGAAGACAACCTAAAACATATATGTTGTATCCTTCATTTCAAGTTCAGTGAATAAGTTTGATTAACACAGCCACTAAAGTTTCATCATCTATATAGTAGAACACAGAGATGGGAAAAATACAAGCTTCAATACATTCATTAATAGTTTACAAAATAAGAATGCATACTGATAAAATGAAAAAGTGATATCGAAACACTAGTAAAAAGATAACCTAAAATAATTGATATAACTGAAATTCGTTTGTCTTTTAATAAGCCAAAGCAGGAATGAATCGGACTTTTAAATACCTTCCCATAATACCCACTCACAGATAGGGTTTTAAACGGCAACATCTTGAAAGGAGTCTTCAAATGCTCTCCTTGTTTCCTTATTGTGTCGAAGGGCTTGCAAGACGTTTCATTTATTTGTTTCTTATTCTTGTATTAAACGTGAAGTGACATACGCAAGCGCGTATTTGAAGGACACTCGAAATAGATATGGATAATTAAAGCATTTGTATTAGTAAATGGGATTTGGATTTTTGAATATATCATGACAACTATCTATTTATATATACAATAAAACAAAACAGTTTAAAACAATACAAAATGGCATATGAGAGTATCGGGCAAATGGAACTTAGACGAAAGTGTCTGGGCGAACATACCCATTTTCTTAAAAAATTAATGGAACGGACCTTTTTGTCATTATCCTGATTATGCTTTATAATATATATGCAACTACATTGCACATAATACAGAAATATGTACGTTAAAGAATATCTCCTTATGGTTAGCAAATTGTTGAAACTGATTCTCTATGTGTGTGTGGGGGGGGGGGGGGTTGTGACAGGAGATTTTCGAAATCTGTAATTGCTGAAATTTATACATTTTTTTTTGACGGTTTTCAATATGTCAGAAAGAAATAGCTACTTTTTATATGCATAATATTCAAGGTACTAATACAAAAATAAGTAATAAGTGGCATGATTGCCAATGAGACAACTATCCACTCGGAGTTCAACTGACCTGGATGTAAGTAACAATAGGTAACCGTAAAGCCTTCAGCAATGCAACAATGAGCAAAACCCATACAGTATGATTAGCTTTAAAAGGTCCCGACATGACAAAGTGTAAAAAATTCAAACTTGAAAACAAAATATTTGAAATTCTGACACATAAATGCGTGAAAACGACAACCACTGAATTACAGACTCCTGACTTTTTTTCCCTGTTTTTTTTCAGTAGTCAGACTATTACAATCCCTTTACATCACCACCTGACTAGGGTGTTAAGGGTTTTGATGAATTAAACAAATATTAGATAATTGACTACATTTTTTTTACTATTGTAAATATATATTATATGAATACCAATATTATATGAATACCAATATTATAACAATAAGTGGAAAAGAACAATCATATACAATACACACACTCTTGTTCTTGCATTTAAATGACATACATTAACTTGTTTATTGGAAAGAAACATGTTATCTTAGTAAATATCTGCCCTTTATAAACTGAAGATTTACATTATCAGTTCTTTTTCTTTTATATAGTTTGAATCAAATGTAACTGTTACTAATCAGTAAAAATGTAACCTACTGGGGCCCAGAAATTTTTTTGAAAAAATTGTGTGGTACCATTTTTCTTTGCTATATAATGTTCAGTTGCCTGGTATTTTCTTATTTTTTACTCCTGACATGGGGCAAGGCACAATGAGAATTTTGCGGGGTTAAACATTTTTAATTAAACCAACTTTGCGTCCCTTGCAATACTTCTGAATTGAACATATTGAATACGAGGATTTGTTCCCCGAAATATAACAGAGGCAGTCATTAAGGAAGCGAGTTATGAAATTTACATGTATTCCCATATATTTAATTTGACACCTGTACACAATGGGTGAAATGTTGCTTCAATAAAATTCTATGACGGTAAGAAAACGATTGGAATTCGGCATATCTTGCATATACAATCTATACATGTATCACTCTTTTGATTTTCCTACTATATGCATACAAACTGTCCTGTTGAGTAAAACAAAATTCCCTCAAGACCTTCTACATTATACTATTATATATCTATATTCTCTTGTTGTTTTAATAAGGAGAATGGTTTTTGCAAGAATAAAATGACAACTGTAATTGTGAAAAGGCAACTTTAGATATGTACTTTATTATTCAATTCAGACTGCTTTTTAGTCATAATGTTACAATTCATGACATTCAGAATTGTGAAGTTTGAACTGCATTAACATTATTACTTCATACATTTTGTAGTCCTGTAAGTTTCTATTTTGCTAATGTAATTTGTAGTGTTTTACATCATCTAAAATTTTAGAAAATAATAAACCGAATTTGCCAGAGATTTTATATTAACTCAATTTGTATTTCTTCAGATCCTTAAGTTTTATCCTTAATATAAAGTTGATGATAAGTTAAAATAATTTTGTTTGATTAATATTTTACCAAAGAATAAATTACAACACTCTTCAAATTTGAGATGGTTTTAATATTGATCAAAGATTCATTGATTGCAACCAGTCTTGTTAGGGTGTGTGATATATGTATACAAGCGTGTTCTTTAAAAAGTCTGTGATCTTCCCAATATTTTCATATTTAGGTGGCGATCATTTCATTCTTAGTGTGGTCCTGACAGATTTGGAAAATAAATATTCTGACCCCTATTCAGTTGGAAATAAATAATATTGCCTTATCATACAGTACGACCTGGGACATACTCTGACAAATGGTGGTAATAAGATTTTTGTTCACCATGATGGCCCCCAATGTCCATCAGTATACCTCCTGTGGTTAGATAAATACACAAGGTATAACTAACAATCAAAGCACCTGTCAAAGGAACTGTTGTGCATTTTTGTTATAAACTTAAAAAGCTTGAAAACAATGTGTCTCAAGAAAATTTTGTGTTTTGATAGAATTTGTGATATTTACAAGAACAACATTAAATAAATTAAGAATAAACATGTTGACCACATGCGCAACCCATATCTACTAAGGCCAAATTAAGGGTTGCATGAAAACGGATTCAGATGAGTTGAATTATTGACTAGTAGTCAATAATACACCAGGGATGATTTTTTTAAATAGATATAGGAAGATGTGGTACGAGTGCCAATGAGTCAACTCTCCATCCAAGTAACAATTTATAAAAGTAAACCATTATAGGTCAAGGTACGGCCTTCAACACGGAGCATTGGCTCACACCGAACAGCAAGTTTTATTATTTTGACGAAATTAACAAAATTGCTAATTTTGACTTCGTGTATTTCGTTGGTACAGGTGAACCACGATTCTAAATGTCAAATGAAGTACAAATTAACTTAAGGCTTGTATGCAGACCTTTGTTATCCAAGAAATCGTGTATCCACGAATATACAATCTTTCCTTATTTCACGAAAATTGGTACCAACGAAAATAAATGAATCCAAAGTATTTCCTTCTAGAAAACTGACCACAGTTTTGCATCAAACACAGTTTTTGGTTTTTTAAGTTTCCATATATAAACTCATCATAGACACCAGGCTTAAAATTTTGTATGGCAGACACGCGTTTCTTCTACAAAAGACTCATTAGTGACGCTTGAATAAAAAAAGTTCTAAAAAATCCAAATAAAGTACGAAGTTGAAGAGCATCATTGTTTAAATAAAAAAACAAGAATTGAAACAAGTTATAACAACTTAACATAATCTTCAACAAATTATAATGTACAAACATTGATGACAGCAACTATTTTTAGTACAAACAGAAAAAAATAAAAATACAATAAATTAAGGCGACAGTAGTTTATCGATGTTAAAAATCATTAATCGATTAAAAAAAATAAACAAAAACAAACAAAACTGAGGGAATCGAATGAACTCTTAAAGAATAGATACCGGATACGTCGACAGGGTAAGCGTTCTCTCCTGCTATACATGCACCACCCACCTCGTGAATTCACAATCAGTAAAAATGTCACAATCGGGAATAGGACACAATCGGTGAAATTACAGATCAGAAAACCTTACTGGTATCTAACGATCGAAGAGCGTGAAAACACGTCGCTAGTGAGTTGAGACACCGACATTTCGTATCTGCAAACCAATTCGGGATAGTAACCGTTAAATTTATTTAGTGTCGTTCTCAGTCGTCCTTCCTCGTAACTCTGTTGGAGCATTTTCGTGTAAGAAGCACATCCCTGCTAATAAAGTCCATATGGTGGGAACATGCACGAGCGAAACGTATTACTAGTATGTCCCTTAATGCGCTTCCATAAATATCATTCTATAGGTCGTACACATTTACTATTCAAAATTGCCAAGTGATATACAACAAATCCATCAAACAAAACAAGTTTTATTTTTGTTTGATGGACTTGTTTTACACCAAACAAAAATAAAACTTGTCAACTTTCTTTCAATTATATGAAACTGAAAATACTTTCTGTTTAAATCATCGTCATTGTGGTAATGACAACATACTCTGCTAATTAAAGAATATCTCGGTATTTATCAACTCCTTATAAGGAACAAATAGGACTATTCTATTTACAGGATTTGTAAAGCAAAATATGCATTAGCCAATTTATCAGTGGTGTTTCTCTATCTATAACTTGACAATTCAAGAATACTGAATAAAAAATGCATAACAGAATGAAATAAGATTTTCTTAACTAAGTAAAATTGTATATGGCAGCATACCCAAGCCCGGTACATAGCAGTAATATTTGTTTTTCTTTGTTGAAGTACAATGCAGATGCCAGGTTCAGATCACTAGTTTTGGTTAGTAAGGTTTTACTGTACCTCCCGTCAGGTTGTATTACTGTAAGCGATTTCGACTTTGGATCAACAACAAATACATTTTGATGATCATCGACAGTGATGCCATTCGGCTTGACTAATAATTCCTCCTTATGTACCCATATTTCCTCGCCTGACATGGAGACGCAATTTATAGTATGACCTCTTTTGGTGGTAAAATAAATTCTATCTTTCGTGGTTTCTAAGTATATTCCACAATCAAAATAGAATGTTTTCAGAACTTTGCCTTCAATATCTATTATTACAATGCCGCCTGTAATAATAAAAAGTTTATTGTCCTGGTATGATATTCCAAAGCAGTCGTTCTCAAATTTTACTTTCCTCTCGACAGTATTGAATTTCATATTCAAAATTTCGATGTACTTTCTACTTCCATATGTAACAGCAATACGGTCAGTGTCTATGACCGTCAAATCAAACGGTGGCCTAGAGCATGATATGTCACGGATACGTTTGCCGCCTTCGCTATACTCCATTAGTATAGTATTTCCGAGATAATTAGCCATCAACAAATTACCATTTGTTAACATGGTACATCCAGTCAGCTCAAACGTAAAAAAACCTTTTTGCTCCACTTTAAATCTCTTCTTCAACTGGATACGGACGCTTTTAATGCTTTTCATTTCGAGATCTTGAAGTTGTACCTGAGCTTGATCTACATTTGTTTCTTTGAACGGTAAACTAGTCTTAGTATTCTTAACGGATATTTCCCCAAGCGGATCTACTTCATTCAGTAACGCCATGACAGAAGGATGTAAGTGTAGGTAAATCTCAGAGTTCTCGACAGACTTTATTCCTTCTTTGACGGATTCTACTTCTTTGAAGACTGTTCCTTTTATCTGGCGCGTACCCAGGAAAAGTTGAATGTCGGATGCGAATGATTTCAGTTGAGACGTTTGCTCTCTCAGACAACATAAATCTCGTTCTGAACTTTTCAAACGGTTTAGAAGTTTGCTAACTTCGGATTTACAATAGCCATGTTGCATGTCTAATTCCAGAAGTAGTTTTTCCTCTAAGTCGTCAATTTTTCTCATTATCCTTTCTTTTGTATCATTGATTGCATTTTTGATAGTTTGTCTCTGGCCGTCCAACTTCTCCAAGGCTAAATCACGGTCGCTAATGATTTGTTGAAGACTTTTTAATGTTCTGGTTAAAGTGTCCTCTAAATCAGCAAGTGCAGTTGAATGTTTTGCATTCTCCGCAGCTTTATCTAAAGGAATGACGTCAGGGCATGTCCCATGCTGTGATGGAACGCAACCTAAACAGATTGCAACATCATGCGTTATACAGTACAGATCGAGTCGCTTGTCATGGTCTTTACATTTTAGACTGACAGAAATATTTTGTATCTGCCTATAGTCTTCGGTTGATATGACACTGTGATTCATTGTTGTTTTTATAGATTTGTGGACCTTCTCACAATCTGTACATAATCCCTCTTCACAAACTGTACACCATTTCTCTGCATTTTTATTACTGTCCGCATTACCACAAGGACCACAAAAAATAAAATCCGACATGATGGAATACCTGTAAAGTGATATTTGTTAGTATAAATATTAAACAAAACTAATTAGAAAGATTACTAAAAATTGAATGGTATAAAATCAAGAATTGATAGAATTTTTGTTCGATCATGAAATATGAAAATTTCCCCTCTGTTTTTCTCTCATCATTAAACTGTTGAATCTTATTTGAAGACAAGAAATTGAAAGATAGTTGCTTTGTAGTTCGTACACGATGGTTTAGCATAGATAGCGAAAAAAAGAAGAAAGAGGTAGGACCATTTTCCTATAAATTTATTTCACTTCAGGGACATTTTCAAAAGTCTCTAGGAATTTATCTTTACAAACTTTTATAGTATTACAGAATCATGAGCATAATTTCAGAGTGTTACCAAAATATGTCGTATTAATTCTGCATATCTGGAATAAGATTGGTATTTGCTTGAATACAAAGGACGATTGAAACGAACCAAGTAAGTTGGTTCGGCAAAGTGGAATAACTGGGATGAAGGACAAAAAATCTTATCAAAGGGGTTCTAATACGTGTCGAGAGTTTGTCATTCACTGAACACTCCCCATTTCTCCTAGGCATAATTTGGAATGAGAAAAATATCGGATTATAAATAAAAACTATTTAGAATGATTTCTAACTACTCCATAATAAACTAACACACTACTATTTTTATGGAAAGGTACTAAGCAACGGTGATACGTTTTATTGTAATAGACGGGATCGAAATATATAACGTTTGTCAATTGTAATTCCAGTTAAAGTGAATTTCACTGAACATTCCAAATAGATTTGAAATATGAACAGCAATTACTGCATGGGCTATTAGATTAAAATTATTTGATTTTTATTTTTAACTTTTTAGGGGCAGTTATGGTTTACGACACGTGTCAACCATTCAGAAAGGTGCGCATAACATTTGCGCGCATTTGGGGATTATTATTTTTTTACGTTTACGCGCAGCTTTTGATTAATTTGCGCGCATTCATTTAATAGGTAACATAGGTAAAAATAAAGATAACCCATAATAACTATTATCATTTTTTGAAAAATTTTGTAAATTTAAATGATATATTTTTGAAAATATTTGTAAATTTAAATGATATATTTTTTTAGTGATTGATCATGAGAAATCCCGTAATAGATTAAGACAAACATGTAACTTTATTGCGAATATTTCAGAGTAAGTTGTATTCTTTTTCATAATTTTATACTGATTTGGTAAATAATTTAACGTGTCGATGCTACGTTAATGATTGCAAAGGTATTTCAAAAGATTCCTTATTTCATCTTTAGGCATCATGCACTACCGTCAGAAGAATCCAGGCGTACTTCAGCCTGGAATCATTCCGTGCTCACTACAATGAGCAATTTGATTCAGCACATCAATGTCAACGGACTTATCTTGCTCAAAAATAATAGTTAATTCAATAAATATAATCTACCTGTATTTACTTGAATTTACCTGTAAATGTAATCAAAAGCTGCGCGCAAACGTAATTATTTTTGGTGCGAAAAGTAATGGTAATGCGTGCAAATGTAATGCACTGTCACAAAATGCTCTGGATGGTGTTCTAATATCAATCTTTTGTTTTTTCAGTTTTGACATCTGATTAAACACGTACAGTCCACGCCAAAATATGAAAAAATGTGTCATTTAGAACAGGGAAGTTAATCATGAAATGAAATTCCCTAGATTGAGTGGAATTCGAAATGAAAACTTGTAAAACTTAACAAAAAACACATGTACCGTTTCGATTCGATTGATCCTTTATCAGGTACAAGTAGCTTAATCTTTGCTAATTAAGGTTTAATATTGCTAAATTACCTTTAATGTTCCATATACATGACGCTATCTACATCAGGAGTTCGGTAGCTTGATATATTACACAATTGTTACCTTGGATTGAAATATTTTAAGAGATACATTTAAAAGATATAGTATTACTGATATTAAGTGTATTTGCGGGTTTCTCGGTCAATAAACTTTCCCAGGTAAGTGAAGAGACTTGAGCACTCACAATCACGTATTAATCCGAAAATTCGTATATGCCTATCCCAAGCCAGAAGCTTGTTCTCCTGTGGTAGTCGTTGGTTATTATTGTCTGCTAGAATTTGTAATCGTTTAGTTATTGGATTAATTGTAGTTTAAATCTAGCCGTTGGGGTTTTTTTTTTCTTTCTTTGAAATCTTTCAAGTTTTGCCATCCCATGACATTTTCTAATTTTTGAGGGCCGTATGATGACTTAAAAAAATATAAAATAAATAAATAATTAATTATTTTGAACCATTTTTTAAATAATTGTAGGTATCGTATTATGATTATGAATTAACAATTTACAAGACTTTTGGTTTTTCGAAATACTAAGGATTTTTCTACCCCAAAGAATAGATTACCTTATCTGTCTTTTGCAAAACCTTTCTGAATTTTTTGTCCTTAATGCTCTTCAACTTTGTACTTATTTTGGCCTTTTTTTTTTTTTTTTTTAACTTTTTTGATTCGAGCGTCACTGATGAGTCGTTTTTATACGAAACGGACATCTGGAGTACAAAACTATAAGCCTGGTATCTTTAATGGTTTTTAAAAACACAGGACGAATTTAAGGTGTGCTTCCCTTTAAAATCAGAAAAATATCCATTTTTTGCATATACATTTTTTTAAAGGTTATCCCCGTATCTCAACGTTAACCCTGGATCATGTGATTGAAAGATTTCCAAGTGAATGTCCAAAGGAGTAAGAACAATCATCATGGAAAAATCAATATCGAATAAAAAAAAACCTGAAGTTTTAATAAAATGTACTAAAATGCAAGATTTGTTTTTCTATTTTTCGATTTTTTGTTGACCTCATATGCTAGAAGTTTACAGAATATCAGCTTCCAATCAAATTTTAAAGAAGGTGCAAAAACAATTTTAAACAATAGACAAGAGTATAAAACGATACAAAAAGTATGTCAAGTCACAATGGAAGAGAGGAAGTAAAGTGGAGAAAGCAATTGAAAATGATGGAGAGAAAAGCACAACATGTTGCAGGGGTAATGAACCAGGACCAGGACAACCAAGCGATAACCTATCGAAGGGATGGGATTGATTGGTGTTTAAAGCCACTTTCAGCACTATTGTGCTATTTCATGGCGGTCAGTATTTAAGGGGGGAGCCGGAGTGCCCGGAGAGAACCACCGACTTTCGGTTGGAAAACTGATAATCCTAGTCAGTTAAGATTGGAGTCGAGTGCACCTGCCACGTGCGGGATTCGAACTCACAACCTCAGTGTTGACATGCTAGTGATATAATAGGTCGACTACTTAGACCACTCGGGCACCGATTCCCCTCTAAGGGATGGGAAAGAAGACCAGAAATCAGAAATAGTACGATTGACAGATTTTCTGATTATATGTGAATACATATACATCGGACTCGGACGTCCTTTAAACTGAGTTTTACTGTGCGTATTGCTGTGGGTTTGTTTATTCAAATTATTCTACATTGGCTAGAGGTATATAGGGGAGGCTTGAGATCTCACAAAACATGTTTAACCCCGCTGCATTTTTGCGCCTGTCCCAAGTCAGGAGCCTCTGGCCTTTGTTAGTCTTGTATGTTTTTTAATTTTAATTTATTTTTATGTTTTGGAGTTTAGTGTGACGGTCATTTTCATTGAACTAGTACGCATTTTTGTTAAGGGGCCAGCTGAAGCCCGCCTCCGGCTGCGGGATTTTCTTGCTCTGTTGAAGACCCATTGGTGGCCTTCGGCTGTTGTCTGCTCTTTGGTCGGATTGTTGTCTCTTTGACACATTCCCCATTTCCATTCTCAATTTTATATAGTAAAATATCAGCCGCTCTAAATAATGTGAAGCTTTTTGGCTCATTTGCTGCTCTCCTTCGCCAGAAAGCTTTACATAGCGCTAGAGGCTGATATTTTACGATCTTAATGTGCCGAAACCAGAATACCTATACATAGTATATAGCCTTTTACATATCTCAAACGTATTAACCCTATACACCAATATAATCCTGAGAGTTTACTGTTTGCCATATATGTATTTCGTTTATTGTTTTAGCATAAATCAGGCCGTTGGTCTTCTCGTTTGAATGGGATTCATTTTGTTAATCCGGTATCTTTTATAGTATACTATACTTACAATTGCTTCCATCCACGTCCTGTGGTCTCTGGTGGAAAGTTTTCTCATTTGAAATCATTTCACGTCTCCTTATTTTTATATTTATGTTATTTCTAAAAAAAAGTATTGGCAGTTTAGCGTTTTCCTGAATATGTGGCTAAATTAAAATGCAGAAGGATTGCGTACACCCTGTGCGCCCCCCTTTACCCTGCATCTGCCACTGCTGAATAACATTTTGATGATATGGATAAATGTTAAAAAAAAAAACACCAGAGAAGCCAACAAGAACGTACAAAAACGCGAATTGAAGTAAAATTGACAACACAATGACGAATAGAAAACCAATGTACAACAGTCTACACAACACTACTCAGATATAACAAAACAATCTTCACAAAATACTGTGGAAAGAAACTAGCAATAGGCCTCTGGACAGTTTTCATAAAAACTAGAAGTACTGCGAGCAGAATTAACAACACCTTGCAAAAGTCATGATTGGCTACAGGGAAACCCAGATATAATTCTGATGAAAAAAGAAATTAAGAGGTCACAAGTATATGATTAAGATTGCGAGAAAGTTATATAAATTGTAATAAGGGGTTTAAGAAGAGCTATGGATAAAAAATATAGATGACCCCAAAATAAAGAAATGGCAAGGTCCATGCTTTACTAAGGGAAACCCCAAAAATAATTTGGGCCCCCTCCCCCCCAAAAAAAATACAAATAGAAAGTGTACAATAGAATTATATGGTTGAGATTCTGCAAAAGTTCATTTGATTTTGATAAGGGGTTTAGGAGGAGAACCGGATACAAATGTTTACTATAGTGTGAAGATATAATGTCATCCAAAAGTAAAACCCAATATGTATTCAGATGATGAATAAAATCATAGGTGCAGAAGTAAATATTGTCAGTAATATTTAGCCAAAAAAGAGGGACGAAAGATACCAGAGGGACAGTCAAACTCATAGATCGAAAACAAACTGACAACGCCATGGCCAAAAATAAAAAGACAAGCAGACAAATAATAGTACAGATGACACAACATAGAAAACTAAAGACTAAGCAACACGAACCCCACCAGAAACTGGGGGTGATCTCAGGTGCTCCGGAAGGGTAAGCAGATCCTGCTCCACATGTGGCACCCGTCGTGTTGCTTATGTTATTACAAATCCGGTAAATAGTCTAATTCGGTAAGTCACATTCGTGAAAAGGGAAGGGTATTGTAGTGACGACATAAGGAACATATCCGATATCATCTGTGAAACGGTTATTCCATAACGGTCAACCAACTCGTGATGGCGTCCGTAAAATTTACGAAGGGATGATTTCAACTTCACCATTTGGAACTCTTGGCTTAATAGCTTCCTTGTGAGCAGCAATCCTCTATCAAGGAAATCATGATAGGAAACAAGCCCGGGAATATCATATCAATTGGGAGATATATACTCCGTTTGCAGGCGCTGCTGGAATGTTGCTACATAGAAATGGAAAGTTCACAATTGGGAAGCTGAAATCATCTCTTTTGTCGTAAAGTTTTGTTTTCAACCGACCCTCATTGTCAATTTCTAGATGTAAGTCAAGATATGAGGCAGACTTAACTGTATCTGTAGTATCCTTTATCTCTAGTTCGATGGGATAGATTCGTTCAACATAGTCACCAAATTTTGTATTATTTAGTGAGAGAACATCATCTATATAGCGGAACGTAGAGTTAAAGGATATTGCTAACTTCTTTACAAATTTTCGTCCAGCGGTTCAAGAGCATTTGCAGATACAAAAAACGGGACAGAATAACGAATGGACAAAAAACATACGGACGGACTCCTCCATCACTATATAAGGCGGTAAATGATTAATATACCATGTACGAAAATGATGACATATTGAAAATTGATCGTCACTTCACCATGAAATAGGAATCCGAGAAAACGGTGCGCTAACGCTGATACCATTCATCGACGTCAAAAACATCTCTGCTGACAACGTTATCGTCGAAGTGTCGTCGATACATTGCACAAGGATAAGTTTTTGAAAGTCTTAAGAACTGTTCCCATCACGCGGCAGCTTTTCTGGAGAAATGTGGTGAGTTATTTATTGTATTTTACTCAAGTTCTGCTTAAAGTGGCATTTAAAATTTGAAAATTCCTCTTTCTTTTTTCCCGTTTATGTTTATTCTTGACCGTACCTCCGTACCTGATGATGGTTTTATGTGCGCTTTACAAATACATGTAGGTATCGCTTTTTATCTATAAAAATAATCCTCAAATTCGATTCGCTTACATGTTACTAGCATGTAGCGTGTATTTGAAAATTGCCTCTATATCCACGAATCTTTTTTTATTGTAATATTTTCGAATACGAGTGACGGTTGAAGTAAGGGGAAGCATGTAAGCATGTAAGCATGGATCACCAACAACCTGGTAACGCTAGGTTCACACTGTCAATCAAATGAACTCGATCCAACCCGACCGAGACATACGGTCTGAATTGTTTGACAATTATTATGTTCGGGGTGGTCTACCTTGCTCGTCAGTGCTATGACCTTTCTATTCGACAATTTATACATGTCAAAAATGTTAGAGTAAGGATCTTTAAGCCAATCGCTCGAGAAGAGATCGGGAATTCGTCGAGTAGCGGTCGAATTGATCGGGAAAGGATCGTGTAGGGACCGAGTTTGGTCGGAATACAATTATTTAACCGATCTGTACTCGATCATCTCTACCTTTCTCGACTAATATCCGACCGATTAGGGTTCTCTCTGATGAGCTCCTGCAACAG